TATGTTTTTTAGAATAAGTTAGGGGGTGTATGTTATAAACCAGAGAGGCCCATAAAGTATTTCATTTTAAGGCCCAGTATATTAAACAAGCAGGCCCGTTTCAGTTCTTGTGGGTTTTTGAGGAAATATATTTGTTTATACGTAATTATTATTAATATTATTATTTAAAGATTATATTAGTTTTATTATAGACTAAGTAAAAACTAAAACTTCCATGGCCCTTCACTTCTTTTCAACCCAACCATTATCGCACGGCCCAACGAAAACGAAACAGGCCAAAGTCCATATCAGGAAAAAATGTTTTGTTGCAAAAATAAAAAAGAACAATTATTGTGCAAATTGATGAAAAAGTAACGCATATTTTAAAAGTCACAAACTATTAATGTTCAAATTATAAGCCGATTGAATCTCTTTGAATCATTTTATTACAAATCAGAAATTTACAAACAAAATTCATTAATTTACAAAGTAAATCAAATCTTAACACAACTGAATCAAAGCAGAAACAAATTTTCCATAAGCAAAACTTATCGGATCTAATCTAAACTCAACTTACTCTACAACGTAATTTGAACAAATCAATACAACACTCAATACAGAATCAAATCCCTAAAATCAATTACAATAAAAATCTGTGAATCCCTAATCACTCTAAGTAACGACAATTCACAAAAAATTTCCTAATTAATCTAAATCAAAATACTATAAATACCTAAAATTAAGACAAGCAATGGGGGGGGGGGGGGGGGGGGGGATTTACAAGAAGAAATTGGAGGAAAAATTACTACAGAAAAACTACACAAAGACGGAAAGCTTGTCTCTTGGAAGCCTCCTCACCGCATAGATCTAGGGTTTCAATATCTGAAACCCTAAGATCCTTCTTCCACCATCGTCGCTATCACCTCCAGTCAAAACACCGCTGCTGCACCCATCACCATGATAGCTGTCAAAACATAGAAGAAGAAGGGTTAGAAGAAGAACGGTACAAAATAAGGCTCAAATAGCAGTCGCGACGAGGTAACGATTGCTTAGCTTAAAATATCTTGTTGAATCTGTTGTTGTGTTGGGATTGGGATTTGAGGGTCATTACATTATCGTTGATGTATAGAGGAGGAAGAAAGGCGACCAGGCACCACTGCGGGTTAGGAAAAATTATGGTTTTGTTTTTCTGTTTGGTTGAGAGAACGAGAAGGAAGAGAGAGTGTTTCAGGGAGAGAGAGAACGGAAAAATGAAATGATGTTTAACAAAAAAGATTATATTATGCCCTGGGATATGATGCATGTCATCCCATGTTTATTTTCATGCACCTTCAATCATTATTGTATGATCATCATCATGTGGTACCAAAATGCATGCCCATCACATTACTGTGCGACCATACACATGGAGTCCAAACGGACTCTCAACTCTCCTTGGGCCTGGCCCGTTACTAATGACACCCTTTCTGTTTTGTTTTTGTTTTTACTAACACGCGTGAATGCATACTTTCCCTGTCTTTTGGTCCTGAATTCAGGGTCCATGCTGTTAACACCTCCCGTTTTTACTAGCCTAACATGATTCACCCCCCTACGTTTTTATTTTATTTTCTTTATTGTTTTATTATAATTATTTTATATTTTCTATTTTAATATATTTATAAATTTAATGTTATTTAATATTGTTATTATTATAAATCAAATAATATTTTTTCTAAAAATGCATTCAAATATTTAATTTTTTTATTGCATTAAATTATTTTTGATCATGCATTAAATAAGATTTTTTACAAGTAATACACAAAAAAATATTTAACCAACACCAAACTATTTTTCATAATTAATTAGATTCAACAATTAACTTTCGAAAAAGGATTACGAAAATATATTTCAATTAACTGTGCGCTTTGTCCAAAATCTCCGCTATCCACACACCCGGACTAAGTACAAGGAGAATTTGAAATATCTTCGTAATCCATGAAAAACACCAACTCATACGAGCTACGAATTGGGACTCTGATTCCTCATAAGATGATAAGTAGGCATACGATAAAAATCGTGGCGAGTTCCCCTGTTAAAAAATTAAAACCCTTACTCTAAACCTTTAAAATCTAAACCCTGGTATCCTTGTGAACAAGGTAGATGAGGGGTGCCTAACACCTTCCCTTCGTTTAAACGAAGTAAGAACCTATAATCTCTATGTATAAAATTAGGATTTCCAATTAGATTCGCTTCCTTAGGATAAAAACTAGTAGTGGCGACTCGATTTAAAATCCAGTTTCAACACTAGTGACAGTTTCATTAACTAGACATGGAACAAGGTCCCAAGCATCGTTATGTTTAAATTCTATAAGTTCTTCTTGCATAGCAAGTAATCGTCCATCATCAAGTAAATCATTGGATATTGATTTAGGTTTAATCTGGGAAATGAAATCAAAGTACTTACAATAATTATTAACTTTTGATCTAGTATTTACACCTCTTTTGATATCTCTCAAAATTTGATCCAATATATGATCCTTTGTGATTGTCAAATCTTGAGGCAGCTTGTTCGAGGTCTCTTGTTTTTTATCCTCATGTAAATTTTCCTCTTTATTTTCACTAATGTCCACATCCTTTGATGAAGGAGGAGGGTCCTCTTTGGAACTCTTGTCATTGATTAACTTCTCTATTATCACGCCTAAAAATCATAATAAATATCTTTCCTCATCTTTTGGGGGTCAGGACTATCAAATGCAACATGGATACATTCTTCTACTGAAGCAGTTCTGTGATTGTAAAATCTATAAGCCTTACTTGTAGACGAGTACCCTAATAATATCCCTTCATCATACTTAGCCTCAAATTTACCAAGATTGTCCTTTTCATTATTTAAGATGAAACATTTGCAACCGAAAATGCGAAAATAAGAAATATTTGGTTTTCTACCCTTAAGTAACTTGTAGGGTGTCTTCTCTAGGATAGGTCAAATGATCAATTTGTTTAAGACATGACATGTGATATTAATCGCATCAAACCAAAGTTCTTAGGTAAACTAATTTAACTTATCATGGTCAAGGCCAATTCGTCTAAAATACATTTTTTTTCGCTCAACAACACCATTTTATTGTGGAGTCCTCAGACATAAAAGTTATATGAAATCCCATTTTCAGTACAAATTTTTTGAAATTGAAGGTTACCAAATTCACTACCACGATCATTACGAAGTGTGATAATTTTCAAACTAAATACATTTTGGACAAGCTTAGCAAAATTAACGAAAGCTTCAAAGTTTCATCCTTATGGGTCAAAAATAATGTACAAGTGAATATAGAGTAGTCATCAATAATAACAAACCCATAATAATTGCCTCATAAACTTCTTGTCTGCGAAGGGCCAAACAAGTCTAGGTGGAGAAGCTTGAGAGATTTTGATGTTGAAACAACCTTTTTCGATTTAAATGACACATAATTTGTTATTTTAAGATTTTAATTTTAGGAAGACCAATCACTAGATTCTTGGATGTTATTTTATTTAACAAATCGAAATGCACATGAATTAAGCGCCTGTACCATAACCAATAATTTTCACCCTTGGCGAGTAAACACTTAGTTCTATGAATTAACACGTCATCTAGATCAAGCATATATACGTTATCAATCCTAGAACCCTTAAACACAAGGTTCTTACTTGCCTTGTGCTCAATTAAACAACTAAGAGTATCAAAAATCACGATGTACCCTTTGTCGCATAAATGGCTAATACTAAGTAGGTTGTGTTTATGCCCTTTAACTAAAAGCAAATTTTCAAAGGTGATTGTGGAGGTATTTCCCACAATACCTTCTACTAGAATTTTACTTCTTGTGTTGTTCCCATATGTGACTTGATCGTTTTCTTTCTTGGGTTTTGAAATTATTTTGTGTGAGTGAGGAAAAGGAAGGGGCTATAACGCGTATTTGAACGAATAACGTCCAAGATGCATCTACGTAGGCTTTTCAGTGATGCAACTCCGGAATAATTTTGCGTAAAATTTGGTCCTAGGCAAGAAATATACTGAAGTTTGGTGCGTTCAGATGATGCATCTACTATGTATGATTTACGTAGTTGTATCTTCGATGAATTCTTTCACTGATGTTCAACATTGTGTTAAATTTTGGTGCGTCCGAAGATTTATCTACGAAACCAGAGGCCATTAATGTATTTTTCTGGAGTGCGCTAGAAAAGCATGGGATGCATTAAGAAATTATCTTGGCGTGCCTATAAAGAGGCCCGATGGATTTTGCCTGTGTTTATGCCTTGTTGACTAACCCGAAACATGAAATATTTTCTATTTAACACGTAATAAATTAACTATAAATAAGTTATTTAATATTCAAAAATAATATATTTAATTTTTTTTCATAATATACATTTTATATTTTAATAATAAAAATAATTGATTCTTATTAAAAAAAAACTTCATTCTTGCTAAACTCACCTTAATTTTAATTTCTTGTTTTTCAACTTTTCACTTCCCTTAAATATTAATATAATAATAATCATTTTAAATTTATGCATAAGAGAATGAAGAAAAAACTCATAATAAAATTTTATATATTTAGAATGGTTTCAAAAACTTCTTTTGAATATTATAATATAACATTTTCTATATGCATGGTTTTTTCTATAATTAATAGTATAATGAAAATAAATATTTTATTGATGAATATTTTAATAAATGAATCTTTTTTATTTCATAATTCAACACTATAATATATTAAGTATATTTTTATACACTGGTCAAGAATAAAAACTATGACCATGCATAGTATATGATTCACTGTACTTGTCAAGTAAAATTGCAGGACACTTATTAGGAAAAAAAATAAAATAAAGAAAAAAAAAACTATAGTCAATTAGAATTTCAAAATTCTTTAGATATATTAGTATTAGAATTATGATTTTCCCTTTTGTGTTTGTTTTCACCATTTTCTCTCTCTTGCATTCAACACAATATTGAAGACACTACATGTCTTCTTCCACCTATAAATTTAAGTCCTAAGAAGATGCTTTTGCCTCACAGATTCATATCCAAAGAGTTTTGGTGATATCCATGGCTGTGAACAGATATGTCGATTATGATTCGATAGATTGTGTTTTTCAATTGCCTGTTGGATACAGGTTTGATCCAACTGATGATATTCTCATGAGCTTTTATTTGAGGAAGAAGATCTATAACCAACATCTTCAATTTCAAGAATCCTTCAGTTTGATGTGTTCCAAACTGAGCCATGGAGACTACCAATTGGTAAGTAAAATAGATCTTTATTTATAATATATGGTCTCTTTAGCCCTTTAATTTTTTTTTCTTATGAACATTGTATCTTGTTAAAAAAAATCAAATTTTTCTATCACCCATTTGAAAATTTGTTAGTATTCTTTGAGCATTTTAAATATTTTGCAGATACAAGAAAATCATTAAGTGATAGGAAATACTATTTTTTTGATCTGAGGAACGGTGGGTTTGAAAACATGGACATAAGAGCAGCTGGTAAAGGTGAATGGAGAATTGTAGAAAAAAGAAAAGAAGTTTCTCTCAAAAGTCTTTACTTCATTGGGAGAAAGAACAGTTTTGAGTATTGGAAGATGGAAGGAAGAGAACTAGTGAAAAGTGAATGGATGATGGAGGAGTTTCACATCAGTCCAATTCTTGATCCAAACATGGTAAAAAAAAAAACAATAAAATATTAGTAATCATATTCTGTTTCATTGCATTGAACTTTGATGCAAAATATAGTGACTTAAATTTTTAGATCAAATTTAATGCAGAAGTCAAAATTAGGAGCATATCGAGTCTTTAAGATGAAGGTGGCAAAGGGCGAGAAGAAAGTTTCTACAC